TTTCTCTGTGATTATAGCATGCTTTAATCATTCTTTTATTCACTTAACAAATATTTAGTGAATTTATATTGTGCCATGTTCTATGTTCCAAGTGCTAGTGACATAGTAGTAAGCTAGGTAAACAAAATTTCACCCTTATGATGCTTAGGTTTTGGAGAAGGGAAGCAAGAAACAATGCAAATAGGTAATTTTAAATAGTGATGTTTTAGACAGGAAATAAAATAGTAATGAGCCTTTAATAAGTTCAAATATTAGTACTTCAAGTATTAAGTCTTAATCAGTTCAAAAGTAAAGCTGATGCCTAAGGCCTTAAACAGTGATTCTCAGAATGTAAAATGTAGATACTGAGTAGGCTGCCATATAAAATGTTACACAGTTAACATTTCAGACAAACCAGTAGAGTGTGTGTGTGTGTGTGTGTGTGTGTGTGTGCGCGCGCGCACGTGCGCGTGCGTGTGCCTGTGTGCGTGTGTGTGCTCGCGCTGTGCCTTAGCTCTTTCACTGAAGGCTGGTATTCTATCACCTGAGCTATAGCTCCATTTCAGCTTTTTTTCTGGTTAATTAGAGATACTAGTCTCACAGACTTGTTTTTGCCTAGGTTGGCTTCAAACTTCATTCCTCATATTGCAGCCTCCTGAGTAGCTAGGATTACAGGCATGAGTCACCAGCACCCAGCCCAAAAATATTTTAATATATGTGTAATATGTAATATTTGAAACATACTCATGTTTTATAATGTATTATGTTTGAAATTACCTGGACATCCTGTATTTTTATTTGCTAAATCTGACACCCATTCCCTGAGATTTCTTTAGGAATTATATAAGTAAAAGTCTTTTTAAAGTAATAAGAAATCAATTGCTTTTTTTCACTGTATTGACATTTGTATTGTATAAGTAAAACTATTACACTTGTATCTTAGTGTGAATCAAATCACAGATAACAAATTACTAGCTGACTATAGTAGTTGCAGTAGAGAAAAATTTTACATGCCATTTGAAGGTAATGAAGGAATAAAAATAACTAATTTTGTTAAGTCTTGTCACTTGAGTATATGTGTTAAGTACTATATGACAAGATGGTAAATCCAATGAAGACCTTCTGGCCATTCTCAAGTGTGATATGTGTCTTAAGGGAAAAATGCCTGTGTATAGCCATCCTCTTTTTTCCAGACCTTTCTTTATTGGAAAGGACAACTATGATTATTAGACTTAGGCATTTGGCAGACATATTCTAAAGAAAATGAGTAAATAAATGGAATGAGCCTGTCACTTCAAAGAAAAAAAGACAGCATTTATTGCCAATGGTAAAATTCAAGCTTTCATGCAACACTTAGAATTGTGGTAAACTTTTTTCTCACTATGAGCATAATAGCTTCTTAATAATCCAGATCTCTTAAATGACATTGAAGTCAACACTAACAAATGTGAGGGAGGTCAGTTTGTTGTTACTCTGTTTTGCCATTCTTTTTCATTACCATATATTAGTTGTACAAGGGAGGATTTTGTATAATATTTCCATACATGTTTACCATGTATTACAGTCTCATCCCCTCTATCACATTCTCTTTACTTGCTTCCCCAAAACAATTTCATTTCTACTTTTGTTTTTTTATTGGTTGTAGGGCTTGAACTCTGGGCCTGGGCACTGTCTCTGAGCTTGAGGTCCAGAAGACATCTATTGTAAATCATAAATTAACCTTTCCCATGCAGCTAGAATAATGCTCCTTTGTTCCACCATTGTAAAAAAAAATTTGGGGGGGGGTCCGGTCGTGGGGCCTGAACTCTGGAACTGGGCGTTGTCCTTCAGCTCTTCAGCTCAAGGCTAGCGCCCTACCGCTTGAGCCACAGCGCCAATTTCGGCTCTTTTTCTTTTTGCTTATATGGTGCTGAGGAATCAAACCCAGGGCCTCATGCATGCAAGGCAAGTGTTTTACCACTGAGCCACCTTCCCAGCCCTACCATTGTAAAAATTAAGAAAGTAGTTACTCAAGTCATTTCCTGTGTTCTGTAGTTCAGATAAGGAACTTGGTTGATCACCAGGTTCAAGTTAGATTACTGGGAGGAATAGGCAATAACTATGAGGACAGTGTTCATGACTAAGGTAATGAATACATTTCCTATCGAACATTGTTACCTCTTTCTTTGTTTTTCCCCTACAATCCCTTCCCACCCCACCTCTCCCACTCCTCCCTCCCCCCCAAGTTGTAAAGTTTGTTTTCAACATAGTGTTTTGTACATCTCATTAACTTTAACATTTTTATATTGTTAGGTAAAAATAATTAAAATAATACTATATAAATACCTATATACCACAGAATCTTACAAAATAGCAAAAACTCCGCAATACAGAATTAAATTTTTTTTTAAACCCATGATACAGTGAAGCTGCAATAAGTGAACCACAATACAGCAAGGGATGACTATAGTGTGTGTGTGTGTGTGTGTGTGTGTCTGTCTGTCTGTGTGTCTGTGTGTGTCTGTGTGGCTGCACTGGGTTTGAGCTTGGCCTTAAGCTTGTTAGGTAAGTGTTCTGCCACATGAGCCACATCCACAGCCCTTTTGTGAGGGAGGAGGCTTTTAGCTATTTTTCAGGTGGGATCTTGTATTTTTGCCTAGGAATAGCCTTAGATCTTTGAAGCATCTGGGACCACACATCTGGCTTACTTTTTGAGATTGGGAATTGCTAACTTTTCTGCCCACACTGGCCTCAAAACTATCTTCTCAGTCTCTACTTGGATTTGCAGATATGAACCACCATGCCTGGCATCATTTACCTTTTAGTTTTGTTTATTGTAGACTGTGACAGAAATGTTTTAGACTGAAGTTTGAATGTATATGTTGATAAATCTCTTATTGTTTCTGCTCCACTTAGCTTTAGAAAATTCTTGCCTATTCAGAGTAACTATTCTAATTTTTTATACTTTACTAAACATCAGAATGAAAACTTTGAATTTTTTCCTTATGATTATGAAAATCTTAATGATAATCAACATTAGCATATTTTCTTGTTTAGCACTTCAAGCATTACTGTCACAATTATTGGTCTGATTCCTCACTCAGGTTTTACAGACATTTCGCCAGAGGAATTGAGATTTGAGTACCTTAACTTCTTAACCAGCAATAACTTACAAAGTTATGTAAGTTTGTTTACTGTTCATCTACTTCAGTAGTAAATTGGCTGTCAATTACTATGTTCTGTGTTTGTAGTGGCTTGCTTATATTTCAGCAATGCAGTCTGCTGATTTTTTTCAGGTCAATACTTTTAGAAGTTGTCTTCTAGATTATTTTCTTTGAAATTGGCTAGCTACTTAAATTGATAATATATTTTGGCAGTGGTAATCAGGAATATTGTTTTTAATAACAAATTACCCACCCTCCAGACTCAGAAATCAAATACTTTTTTATTGTTTGATAAACACTTACTGAACATTTGTTAGGTATGGATGCCATGATGAATTTTAGGGAAAGGTAAAATGAAGCTGGGCACCAGTGGCTCATGCCTGTAATCATAGCTACTCAAGAGGCTGAGATCTAAGGATTGTGGATCAAAGCCAACCTAGGCAGCAAAGCCCATCAGACTCTAGTACACTACCAAAAAGCTAGACATAAACTATGGGTAAATGGTAGAGCCCTAGCCTTGAGCAAAAGAAGCTCAGGGATAGTGCCCAGTCATGAGTTTAAGGCCCAGTACTGGCGTGACCATACACACACACCAAAAACAAAATCCCCAAACAGATGAAGCTGGAACAGTAGCTCATACCTATGGTTCATGTCTGTGGTGCTAGCTATTCAGTCGGCTGAGATTTGAAGCTCATGGTTTAAGCCAGCCTAAGCAGGAAAATCCATGATTTCTTATCTGAAAAAAAAAAAAAAGCAAAAACCTGGACATGAAAGTATGGCCCAAGTGGTAGAATGCCAGCCTTGAGTGAAAAAACTGAGGGACAATGATTAAGCACTGAGTTCAAGCCTTCATTCTGGCCTTCTCTCCCTTCCCCCTCTCCCCCCAAAAAAGCCTGTTACATGAACTTTTTGTGATTTTTGGCAAATGATGTGAAGAAATTAACCACTCAATATTGAGTTAGAATCTTTTTGTTTTTTCTCTTCAGCTCACCTCTGTCCAACAGTTAATAAATCAGTGGAGGAATAGGATAAATGAATTGAAGAGTCTAAATACTTCGACTAAAGTAGCTCTGGTGAGTACCTGAGTGTTGTTCAGGGAAGTAGTTTATTGGTGGTTCTTTTGCAGGGTATTTCACTTTGAGTTTGGAGTGCAAAGCACAAAAAACATAAATATTCATGGACATCAACATAAGTATATACCTGTGTACATAATTTTATATGTGGATAAACAGCACATGAATCTAAGGGACTATTTAGGAGAAGGAGAAGTGAAGGAGGAAAAAGAAAGATGGAGGGTGAGTAGTTTTGTAATATAATGCAAGTTTATATGAAAACATCATAAAGAACCTTAATGAGATCTATTGATCAATAAAGGGTTGGGGGTTGGGCAAGAGAAACAGGTTCCATAAGAGGAGGTACTAGTTAGGAGGACTTAGATGACAGGAGGTTGAATACAGTCGAGATAAGATTGTGTCCATCTCTTAAAATAGACCATGAAACTTGTTGAAATTGTTTTGGGAAAGGGGAAGAACAAGTGATAAAGGAGTGAGATGGATTGTAATACATTGTAAATGTGAACATGTAAGTGAAATCCTCCTCTGTATAATAATCCTTTTCTGTATAACTAATTTTAAAAAAACCTGTTAAAATTAGGATACATACATTTTCACAGTATCATTTAGAGTGGAGATCCTATAATTGTTTTCTCTCTTCTTCCTTAGTCAGTAGGGACAGCTGTGTGTGGTGACCTGTGACCTATAATAGAACTTTAGAAACAGGCCGAGCTGAACACCAGTGGCTTATGCCTATAATCCTAGCTAATACTCAGGAGTTTGAGATCTGAGGATCATGGTTTGAAGCCTGCAAAGTCTGTGACACTCTTATCTCCAGTTAGCCACCAAAAAGCTAGAGATGGAGGAGTTGCTCAAGTGATGAGAGCCTTGAGAAAAACAAAAAAAGTTAAGAGATAGCACTCAGGCCCTGAGTTCAAGGTCCAGCAGTGACACCAAAGAAAAAGGAAAGAAGAAAACTGTAGCTAGAAGATCATGAGTCAGAAGCCAGGGTGGAATACATAATGAATCTATCTCAACTCCCCAGAGTAGAAGAGGAGGAGGAAAGAAAATAGGTACAATTTTGCTTTTTTAAAAGTTTTTTTTAGGCTGAGCACCAGTGGCTCACTCCTATAATTGTAGCTACTCAGAAGCCTGAGATCTGAGGAGCACAATTTGGAGCCAGCCTGGGCAGAAAAGTACCTGTGAGACTTTTTAACTGAAGTGGCACTGTGGCTCAACTGGTAGAGCACTAGCTTTGAGCACAAAGAGGCTCAGGGACAGAACTGAGGCCCCACATTGACAGGAGGAAAAAACAAAGTTTTTAGGATAAAGCTTTTAACTTTGATAGTACTAGTTTTGAAAATTGGGAAATACAAGTATTTAGAGTTATCTGTGTTTAAAAAGGAATTACTTGGCCATGTACCAATAGCACATGCTTGTAATCCTAGCTACTCAGGAAGCTGAGATCTGAGAATCACAATTCAAAACCAGCCCAACAGGAAGGTCTGTGAAACTCATCTCCAGTTAACCACCAAAAAGCCAGAAATAGAGCTGTGGCTCAAGTGGTAGAACATTAGCTAACACTAACAAAAGCTCAGGGAACAGTAACCCAATCCCTGAGTTTAATCCCTAGAACCAACACACACACACACACACACACACACACACACACACACACACACACACACGGGTGTGGGTAAAGGTGAGGGTGGGAGACAGGGAAATTTTTTGAAAAATAATCTGAATATTCATTGAGACTTAGGTGACTTAGGTGTACTATTTTGACTCAAGGACACTAACCAGATACATAGTCCTGACTAGACTCCTGGTGAAAGCTTTCAGTTATACCATTTAGCAATACTGGCGTTTGAACTCAGGCGCACTCTGACTTGAGCCATGTCTCCAGCCCCAAGTTGTAATGTCAGCTGAATTTAGTAGGACTTTTTGGAAATATTATATCCCTAGGTAAGAAATGAACAATTTACAGTTGACTGGGCCCCTCAATATTAATAAGAGTTGATGAGATAAGGCTGAGTCTAAGGAACTGCAGAACCTCCCACAGGACTGGAAGTTCTTTGTTCTTTACTTCTCTCCTCTGGCCCTTCCATCCTCAGCTGGCTAAGCATGTGTCAGTAATTTGTTTCTTTTCCTGAAGACCATTGCATTGTATGCATATGTTATGATTTGTTTATCTGTTTACCTATTAGTGTTAGCTGTGGAACAGTCGCCTTTGACAGAAAGTAAGAAAAGACTAGGAAGAGACAAAGAGAAATTTTTAACAGTAATGTTCTGATCTTGATTATGGTGAGGACTGTAAGTGTGTTCAAATTCGTGTGTGCGTGTGTATGTGTGTATTGGAGTTTCCAAATGAGAATTCCACCTGCTTAATTAGGAGAATCTTGGAGGGAGTCAGCAAAAAGTTCCTTGAAAAGGGCATTAAAATTTCGCTTAGTGGAGGTGAAAAAGCCTAAGAATATTTTTAAGGAATAAAAGATGCTTAATGAATTTTTGTGGTGAACTTTTCATACTGTAATCCACTTTTTCAAACATGAAAGTAGTCTAAATATTATCTAAAATACTATCTAGCTTTCTTGATAAATGTAGCTATAACCTTAATAGACACTGAAAAGTTATTTGTCGCTGGGGTTTTTTGTTTGCTTGTTTTTGTTTTTGGTGGTACTGAGGTTTGAACTCAGAGTTCATGCCTGTTGAAGGCAGATGTTCTGTCACTGAGCTATACCTCCAGCTCCTTTTGCACTATTTGATGTTAAATAGAGTATTAGTTTGAATCTAGACCAGCCTGAACCATGATCCTCCTATTTATGCTATCTACTGTAGCTAAAATGGCAGATATGTGCCACTATGTCCAGCCTTCCTATAGAGCTGAAGGTCTTGTGGACTGCCCAGATTGGCCTGATCCAGTCTTTTTTTTTATCTCAGTCTCCCATATTGGTGGGATGGCAGGTATATACTACTTTGCCAAGCTATTAGTTGAGATGGGGTCTCAACAAATGTTTTCCTGTGCTAGCCTTGACTTAAACAATTCTCCTGATCTTTACCTCCCAAATAGCTAGGATTGCAAGTATTAGCTACCAGCTCTCAAGTGAAGTTTTTGTTTTGTTTTGGTTTGTTTTTTCCTTACATCAATACAAGGGGGAATCTCATTGTTACATTTCCACACATGTTTACAATGTTTTCCAATTGTTCTCACCCATTCTTTCACTCTTGAGAAGTTTTGAGGTTTTTTTGTTTTAATGCCTGTCCTGGGGCTTAAACTCAGAGTTTAGATACTGTCCCTGAGCCTTTTATGCTCAAGGCTGGTACTCTAGCAGTTGCCCATATATACATACATATATTTTCACCCCATGGGCTAGAGGTGTGTCAAGGCCCTGAACTCAAATCTCAGTCACACACAGAAGAAAATTATTATTATACTATTTTGTACTCTTTGTAGAAATTTAGAGAGTATAAAATTAAAAGCATCCATAATTACTCAGACAGAGATAGTCTCCCTCATTTTTTTGTGTTTGGTTTTTTGTGTGTGGGTACTGAGGCTTAAACTTGGGGTCTTAGATTCTTGGTTAGCTCTCCCCCGCTCCACCCCGGTAAGTTGTGGGGCTTGAACTCTGGGCTTGGGCATTGTCCCTGCCCTCTTCAGCTCAAGGTGAGCGCTCTAACACTTGAGCCAAAGCGCCACTTCTGGTTTTCTAGTGGTTTATTGGAGATGAGTCTCATGGACTTTCCTGCCCGGGCTGGCTTTGTACCTCGATCCTCAGATCTCAGCCTCCTGAGTAGCTAGGATTACAGGTGTGAGCCCAGCTTTGCTTAGCTCTTTTGCTCAAGTTGACATTCCCCCAACTTGAACCACACCCTCATTTGCTGCTTTTTACTGGTTAATTGGAGATAAGAGTCTCATGCTTCTTTGCCTGGGCTGTCTTCAAACCTCAGATCTTAACCTCCTAAGTTGCTAAAATTATAGGTGTGAACCACTAATGCCCAGCACTATTTATTTCTTGATGTATATTTTTATGTATATTCATATTTTGATTGATATTATATTTTATATAATATTCTGTTCTGTTCAACCTACTATGGGCATATTTCCATGTTAAACATTGAACACCACATTTAATGTTTAAAATGTATGTTTTAAAATTTGAGTTTGGCTGTAAAGTGTGTACAAAGCTGCTTAAGAATTCTTCATAAAGCACATAATTATTTGCATATTCTTTTTAAAGCTCTCTGATACAAAGGATGGAGCAAATCCAGTGAGCCCACCCTTTGGCTTTGGAAGTGGGCAAGTAGGAGCATTTGGGGCATCAGGTAAGTATAAAGCAATGCAAGACTTCACTGATTCAGAGAAGTAAAATTTCATAACTTTTGGGTTATAAAATCTGAATCACCATTTCAAATCACTCTTGTAATTAATGTCAACTTCCATTAGGGAGCCTCAGAAACATTTGTAGAAAGCAGGCCAGGATGGACATGTGTTTTGAAAGGCACTCAGCTCAGGTTGTAAAAGTACACTCTTAAGAGCCAGGCACCAGTGGCTCACACCTGTACTCCTAGCTCCTCAGGAAGCTGAGATCTGAGGATAGGTCAAAGCCAACCTGGGTGGGAATGTCCATGAGACTCTTATCTCCATTTAACCACTAGAAAACTGGAATTGGAACTATGGCTCAAAGTGGTAGAGCACTAGCCTTAAGCAAAAGAGCTCAGGAAAAGTGCCCAGGCCTGGGTTCCAGCCTCATGACCCACCAACATAAAAGTACACTTTAAGAATTTCTCTCAGGAGTTTCATAGGAATTCACAGCTGTGTTAGCAACACCTTTGAGAATTTTCTTGTCGCTATAAAGTTGTCAGATGACAGCTCTGGTGAGAGAGATTGGCAAAACAAAGGGGAAATCACTGTTGTCCTTGAGATTTCTTGTGGGTGCAAGTAATACACAGTAGCAGAAACATCAGGGAATTGGAGTATAGTGGTTCATTCTGACCTCTCATTTTCATTCTTCCAGTAAGCTACTTTCTCAGTATCCAGACATGGCAGACATACAAGAAAAGGGTCCTGTGGCTACATTTTTTTATTCTACCAAATTGTTGTTTCCATTTTCTGTGTTTTGTAGGTTTTCCCGTGAATAGCAGCAGCAGTGGCAGTGCTCAGAACTTTAGTTTTAAAACAAACCCTGGATTTGGCGCAAACCCTGGAAGCCCATCTGTGTTTGGTAGTCCTCCAGCATTTGGAGCTGTCCCCTCTGGCAGTTCTGCCATTTCAGCTTCCACTCCAGCTTTTGGATTCAGGAAACCTGATGTCACATCTGCAGCTGCATTTTCATTTAAGAGCCCTGCGGCTTCTGGTTTTGAGTCACCTGGATTTTCAGGATTTCCAGCAGGCCCCATAGGGGCTCCAGCCTTTGGAAGCAGCAGTGCCGTGGCTGGCTTTGGTAGTCCTAGTTCTCAGTCTCACACTGTGTTTTCTAAACAACCTAATGACATCTTCGGAGGTAGCAGTGTTTCCACCTCTCTCCCAGTCTCAAATGTCATCATCACTACACAGAATGAATTATTTACACCCAGGGATCAACTGACAGTGGAAGAACTGGAGCAATATCAATCCAAGAAATTTACACTGGGAAGAATTCCTTTAAAACCTCCACCTATGGAACTCCTAAGCATCTAAAGGGTAATTTTAAATACAGACTAGAATAGCTTTTCTATTTTTTTAGTTTTTTTTGTGGTTTAGGGGATCAAACTTGAGCTTTATGTGTGCTGGGTAAGCACTTTTACCTCCGAGCTATACCCTCAACCCTAAGAATAGATTTTGAAGTTATTCTGTGTGATTCATATGAAAGAGCAAAAGTACACACACAC